TGCCTGCACAGTGAGTTTTTTGGTGCTGCCTTACCGAGTGATCCGGACATGACGATGACCCTGTCCCTGTACTTGGCCTTGCGGCAGAGCGGGTTCCCCACCAGCTCCAGTCTCCACAGGCTGGGCCACCCCGACAGAACCTGCGCCAGCTCCTTCATGTCCTCCAGCTGGTTGTCTGCCGCCATGAACTGGTTCAGACCGCCCAGGCACCGGAAGTCCTGCAGGTCCTCCAGGCTGTTCCCAGAGACGTTCAGGACGCACAGCGCCGCCTGACGGACAAGAAGTCAGAGACGTGAATAGTTTCATCAGGTTGCAATTGGTACGTCAATGAGTAAAGAGACTCTTTTTACACAACCAAGTGTTTTATTCAGCCAACGTTTCATATTGTAGATACAGTTCCCTGTAACCACACATATGTGTAGATATGTAAATATTGTACATTTGGGAATGCTTCTGTAGCAGTGACACCTGTGCTGCAGTGCAATGAGAACCAGTCAGAATTGACCTGAGGAAGGTGACAGACGGTCTCAGAAACATTGGCTGAAAAAGTACATGTAAGACTCGAAGCCAAAATAAAGATTCACCCCAAAATCAGGATAAACATGGTTTAGGACACTGCAGAGTGACAAGTACAGTATACTGACCGACAAGGCTTGGATGGACCTGGGATCAAACAGTAACTTCTCCCCAGGCGGCAGTCTTTGGTTCTCTATGTGCAGCTCCTTCAGATTCTCCAGTTTGTCCAGACCTTCCACAACCGTGATCTCATTATTTCCTAGGTACCTACAATTAATAGTGTACAACATCTTATCACTCAGGTGTCAGATCATGGAGCTAGAAAAGGTTGATCAGCTCAAAAATTATGTCCACCCACAAAAAAGTCTAGGGTCAGCAGGTTTTTCTAGGGTCGGTCGAGAAACAGCTGTTTCCTTAAGGCCTACTTCAACAACTAGTCAGAATATATAGCATGTACATTGTACTTAAACTTAGATTGCAGAACAGCTTTATGATTTCAAGTGCTGTGTAAATAAAGAGATGCTTCACATAGCTTGTTTTTGGGCTATTTCAAACACTTCAAGTATGAAAATGTGACGAAAATGTGCTAAAAAATGGCAGTAAATGTCAATGATATATTTTTTATTTTGCCACCCTAAAATTATTTTGGATGCCTTAAGCTTTAAGTCCTACAGCAGCAGGTTAGTTTATACTTACAGTTTTTCTAATCTCCGTAACAAAGACAGGTTCTCTATTTTATTGATGAGGTTGTTCTGCAGGTACAGGTGAGTGAGGTTGGAGGCGAAGTGCAGGTTCTGTATCCTGGCAATCCTGTTGTCATACAGGTACAACACTGACAGGTTCTTACACAGGGACAGGTCATCCT